GCGAGATCAACAGTGCAAATTGACGCAGTAGGCAAATGTTTCAACACTCCCTTACCACGATTCCTCCATGTCGATTTCCATGCATTGCTCGGTTGAAATGTGAGCAGGTATGAAGCTTGAACTTCAAAACCTGGCAAGGTTTACTGTGATTTGGGTAGGGACAGAATAAACAGGAAACCAACAATTGACTCTGCATAAGAGCGAGATATCCTATTCATTGGAGCAAACTTTTGTACTGGCCGGCTAATCCACTGCACACTTGAAGGTGTTTATCAATGAATAGCATGCGCAACTCTGAAAACTGCAGAGCAAGGACAGCAAACCAGGTAGTACCGGCATTCCCAACTTACTGGGATGCGGTGCGGGAACATATCAAGCAATGTGGCGCACAGACCAACGGTTGATAGATTCAGACACTCATGCGATTATGCGGAGTGTTCGCCGGAAGTCAGTGGTGCCTGCCAGACAGAATATCAGACGTATGAAGTTAGTGCAAACTCTTCGATATTCCGCGACCTGTTTTGGCATCCTGAGGCTCATCAGGCAGCTGATGTAATCCTGGTAGATTCAGCAGAGCCCGAGTTCCAACAACTCGATTTGTGAATACCATCTACTCTCTACTTCATAAAATGGTCGTATATAAATGTATTGAGAATGTATATTGAGTGCCATTGACTGGGTGGAATCTCGAAAATCGCCCGCGAGCAAGGTCATCCGAGTTGACTTGCTTTACCAAACTAATTGAATTACATCCAAATTCGACCAGATTTATCAACCCCACTGTCCAGATTCTCCAAAATCTGGTCTACTTGTCAGTGGAGGTCACTTTGAAATTAACGTGAAAACAAATTCAGGCAGCATTAACCTTACAACCGATTGGATAATCGGGTGAGTATCACGGAGAAACGTAATCATCTCGGTGATATATATTTAGAAAAATTTAGCAGATCCGAAATTCGACAAAATCTATCCATGTGGTTGGTTCTTCTCACACTCACCGGTTGTTTCCTGACTGGGAGTACATCGTATCGGTGAGTAGTGTCCAATAATCCAAACACAGTTTGTAGAATCTCGGAAGAATCGGATAAGCTTGAACGCGATAAGCGAGCTGTGATCAGAATCCGATTGTATCGCTGGGG